CCATAAAATATATCTTTTTTTTTTAAAGAGAGGATCTCACTATGTAGTCCTGTTTGGCTTGGAACTCACCAAGTAGGCAAGGCTAGCCTCTGACTCACAGAAATCTGCTTGCCTCTGTCTCCCAAGTGCTGAGATTAAAGGTGAGCATCACCATGCCCAACCAAAAAATCACCTATTTGAAATGAATAATCGATGCTTTTTTGTATGCCCATAGAGTTGTGCACATATCACCACAATCAATTCTGAACATTTTCATCACTTGTGGTAAACTTCTACCACGTTTTCTTAGTTAATGGACATTTTATTTGATTTTGTTGTTTTATTGAGAGGAAATTCCTATACTACAATGCATCCTTTAAAATGTACAGTCCAATGGTTTTAGTACATTCAAAGAGCTGTGCAACCACCACCTGTAATTTCAGAACATTTCCATCATCCCATATATACTGTCACTCACTTCCCCTCCCAGCCATAGCAGATCTAGGGAAGCCTATGCATCTGCAGTCTGAGTCTGATCAATTCCATGTAGTATTACAAAAAATAAGAAGTTATGAAATATTCCAAGTCTTTTAGCCCAAGAAACTGGAAATGTAAGGAGAGTAAGGAGTTTGACTTTGGATGTGCTGGGTCTGAAACGCACACTCAGCATCGAAGTGAACAGGACATACTGCCAGCTGTGTATACAATCCTGGGGGTTAGAGAAGTCCAGGCTGGAAATGAAATGTGTATGCCATCTGTCTACAAAAGGCATTTAAAGACTTGAGACCACAAAATCACCAAATCCATGAGTGTAGAGTAGAAAAGGCTTTTGTTGAAGTTTATCCCTTAATGGATTATGTGGGTTGAAGCCTGTACCCATCAGAGAACTCTTCTTCCAGAAAGAGATTTCATACAGTGCTGACAACTTGTTGGACTACCTTGTGGGAGAGAATGGAGCAGAGACAGTGATGGACAGGACAACATTGTGACCAGGTGTGGTAATAGAATGCCACATTACACCAATGACTGCAAAACAAAAACAAACAAACAAAAAAACAGCCTGACTCTGAGCACCCCTTAAAACCAAGAGTGGGGCCCAATCTGTTCTGAGAACTTGTTCCTTCTGATTTCTTCTAGAACTTCACTCTTAAACAAAGTCCTTGCTCTCCATTGAAACCATACATCATCCAGCATGAAATGGGGAGGGTATAAAGAAGCTTATCTTATAAGAGAAGGATTTTCCCTTTCTGACCCCTAACCCAGAACAGCATACCTGATCAAAAATGGATGTTATCAATCTAATCCCACCTGTTGTTACATAAATAGTAACATAAATACTTCCTTGCTTCTAATGATATTTGCTGCTTTCAAAGCTTTATAGTTTCACAACACACACACACACACACACACAAATATGTTTAAAAATATATATGATGGAGCTCAAGGGCAAAGAAGGGTCATGAGGGATTAAAGTATATGTTTTGGTTACAAGAACCCAAAGGCTAGTAAGCTTTTTTAATATTATAAATAAACTGAGATAGTGTTAAATGCTCTTAAAACATGACATTAACTTTGGTTACAAGGTTAGCTCAGGTTCTGTTTGTAACAGAAGGTATTCCCATAAGTCATTTCCACAACCAGGATGCTTAGCTATGCATAACTCTGGTCCTCTGTTTAAGCCTAAACCTCATGTCAAGACCCCAAAGATGGACTCGGGGAGGTAATTGGATCTTTGTCCCTCCTTGCAATGTGGTCCCATTAAATACATTTTCTTTTGCTTTTCAGTATTAATATGGCTCTTTTAGTTGGCTTATTGAAGATGGGTAACCAAACCTGGCTTGTTGGGGTGCAGACTGTGACCCTAAGTCCAGTAATGAACATGCTAAAGAGCTCTGATTCTGTCAGGGCAGTAAGCTGTTTGGTGAGGAAGGCTCTAAGAATCATGAAACTCTAGAATATGGTGATACAAATTTTCTCAACCACAGAAGAAATCGAAGTGCTGAGGTAGAAGCATAGGTACATATATGCTTCAAATTTAACTGTATGATTAGTGAGATTATACTATCTGTAAATTAATTTCTTCATAATTTAGTTGCTACATCCATTCACAACCAACAAATCTTCCCTAAATGTGCCATGCATAAAGACACATAATTCCTTCAGTAGTATTTAACATTTGTGCCTTTTTCTGTGTTTCCCAAAGGCTTATTTAGAATGTGTAGTACATTTTTTTTATATATGTTAGTTTTGTTCTTCCCTTTCCAATACAGCACGTCTTTTTCCTTTTTCTTTTTGTCTGTGTATGTGTACATGGACGCTTGCATGTGAGGGCAGGTGTGTGTGGGTACATGTGGAAGCCAAAGGTTGACGTCAGGTGTTTCTCTCTGTCGCTCTCCACTTTATTAAGGTAGGGTCTCTTGATGAACCTGGAACTTCCCAGTTGTCTAGTCTAGCTAACTTACCTCAGAGGCTGAGTGCTGGGATTAAGAGGGCTACCATGCCAGCCCAGCTTTTTTATGTGGGTGCTGGGGATCTAAACTCTGGCCTTCACACTTGAGTAGCCAGCTCTTTATCCACTGACCCATCTCTCCAGCCCCTCTTTTGATTAACCACAGCACTCCATCTGAACTCCAAGTCTGCCACTTCCACAGGGAGACTGTCAGACCCAGTGCAGTTGTGCTTAGGGCCTTGAATTCCTTATTATGAGCAGAACAATGCTCCAGAACTTTTCAACTATAGCAAGAGTAGATCAAAACTAGTGAAATTTTCACTAAAATTATCCAGACAAAACAGCGGATAAATAAATCTGTTAGTTTCCTTTCCAAATATAATGTATCTCAAAGCATAACAGAAACTTTTATTTAATGATGTGCAAGTTGAAGCACTAGTGACAGGTGTTATGTGTGACCACTCTCATCCCACATCACGTACCAGAAAGAGTCTCACGGTCAGTTCCCACCATGGTTGGAGGTGGGACCACTGCTCTACCCCAGCAGCACCACTACTTGAAATTATATCTCATGAGCTATCATACACTAGGACTTTTGCAAATAAGGTAGTTCAAAGTGGAAAAAAGAGAACAGAAACACATGTTGTATTTATCTATGGAAATGACATGTCCACGTTGGGAATTAATCACTGTGCCTAGAAATGCATCTTCACGAGCATTTTGGTTCTATTAGGTACAAAACTGATTTTGCCAACTTGGAGAAGGTGCATTTTTATGCATCATCTGATCATTACCCTAGGAGTATCAAAGTATGATTAGCATAATGAAACATTTCTGCTTCTAGAAGAATCTTCACTGAGAAGTTACCTAAGAGGTAAAGATTTCTGGAGGACTCTAAGAAACATATGTGGGTTCCTTAGTTGGGGGTGTCCAATAAACAATTATAAACATGAAAACAGCTGAGAACCCTGCCGGCCTTCTCTACACAGCTGGGCTGCTCATTCACTGGGATGGGTCTGGAGGCACGCTCACATGCATGTAACATACAGGTGCCTGCTGGTGCATCTACACCAGTCTCAGGCAGGGAAGCCAATCAGAAGGCACTCATTCTGTCAAGAAACGGAATCAGACTGCTTTTTCTACAACACAGTATCACCTGCACTTAGAAAACTGATACTCAGGAAGGGACAGATTGGTGAAGTTGAAATAGGAAGACCTGGGAGACAGGAGCAAGGGCAGGCTAGGAAGGAGGCTCGAAGGAGGCTAGGAAGGAGGCTAGAAGGAGGCTAGGAAGGAGGCTAGGAAGGAGGCTAGAAGGAGGCTAGAAGGAGGCTAGAAGGAGGCTAGGAAGGAGGCTAGGAAGGAGGCTAGAAGGAGGCTAGGAAGGAGGCTAGAAGGAGGATCCTGGTTGGAAGAGCAGGAAAGCAAAAGAGCCGAGGAAGGCCTTGGCTGCAAGGGCCGAGGCAGAGGGGCGTGCAAAACTTGAAGGAAAACGAGGTGGAACTTGCTCTGTCCTCCCCAAGACAGTTCACACTGCCGATTCAAAGACCCCAAACTCTAGTAGGTATGTCACGTTGCACTGTCAGTGACAATAGTTTAACCTGCCACAACCAGCTCAGCCTGGAAATCCAATCATCAGTTCAAAATGTCACTGCTGTGGAAAGGTGCTTCCAGTCTTCCTAACAGTCAGCTGTTTGGAATGTATTATTAGTCCCTTCATAAGACTTTTTACTTGTGGGAAATTTTATGAAGTGTATTCTCAATTTTAGAATGTAATCAATATGTCCTGAATTTCTAAATATATTCTACAATGGGGCAGGGGGCTTCTTATAAGGAAAAAAAGATATGCAACACTTTTGTAACCAGGATAAAACTTCTGTACTGAATATTCATATATGACTAACATTTATTGCTTATAATAGTTGGGCCCTGCAGAATAAATGTCTCTCCTTTCAGACACACAGATCTAATAATCTATCACTTCCAGTACTCTTTATGTAGTACTTTATATCATTCTAGAAATTAGATCAAGAGATGATGCTTAAGCCAGGCATGGTGGCACAGGCTTGTAATCCCAATACTCATGGGAGGATGAAGAAGCATCAAGTTGAGTTTGAGGCCTGGGCTACTAAGTAAAGTCATATCTAAAATTAAAAAAACATACAACAACAACAAACAGAAGAAAATGTAATGCTCTAAGCTTCTATATTAAAACTGTCTAGATTATTTGAGACATGCATACACAAGCAACCAAGATACTTTGTGCAAAAGGTAGTATAAACTGATAGCTGTTGCCATCTGAGGTAAAGTTATTACAGTCAACTATACATTCAACATGATATCTCAGAAGCTACTATTATTATTGTAAGACGTGAGAGATTATTGCTCAAAGCTGTGCATTCCAAAATGGCAAGAAATTCTCATTTGTTTTAAGCAAGGTAACATCAGAATAAAGACAAAATCAAACTTCTCTTCAGTGTTAAAAGTGAAATTTATTACAATAAGAGCAAGTGTCATGATTTAAAATGTTGGTTCAAATGATCAAATATCTAAATTATTTTTCTACTGTAAGTACTAGAAATAACAACTTTTAACAATTCTCTATGTACACAGAACACTGAAAACATAAAGTCATGCATAAGGCCAAAAACTAGCATTGCACATTATCCTTTTATTGCTGGACCCAGCATCACATGAGCATGGGAAGGGGGTGCTGACTGCTCAGACCACCAGTCTCAAGGCAGGAGTGTTCTAAACATTTGTTCACTACCATACACTAATGCTTAAACACCACTGAAGGCATATGACAAGTAGTTTCTCATTTCCCTTTCTCCAGAGGTCTTAAATAAAAAGTTGAGCTAGAAAAACTGATTCTAAGAACCAGCATGATAAGGATTCTCCATGACTCCTATAAAGGTGGCATCGATTTCAATAGGAAGGACGGTAAGTACATCAACGTGGGAATCAAACAGAGCCGCTTGCTTGTGTGGCCCTCATATCCCTTCAGGAAGGAGAAGCCAGAGCCATCTACAGGAGCAAACCAGAAATGTTGAGCAGTGGGGGAGAAGGCAAGGAAGTGGGATGTGATGTTTATTCCTCTATGACAAAGCTTCTCAAACTTCAATGTGCATGTGATGAACTTGGAATCTCATCAGAATGCACCAGGTCTGAGGAGGTTTCAGATTCCACATTTCTAATCAGCTCCAAGCCGATGCCCATGCTATTGGTCTGCTAACCACACTTTGGGATGGGTCTACAGTACACAGAGAGAGCACCAACTCTGTCTTTCTGGGCTATAAGGGACAGGCCTCAGTGTCTCTGCTTCCCTAAACACATCCCAGGCAAAAGGTATAGACACTCTGTATAAGTGAGCAGATGTCTACAAGACCGGGTTAACATGTTTTCTGAAAGCCTCATGGGTATGTGAATGGCTAGAAGATAAATAATTCGTCTTAAGTAAATGGAGAGATCTGTTTGCTAGGAATAAAATTTATCTTTCCTTTAAATGCTCATGATACAAAGTTATAAAAAACTCAGCATATTAAACTCTGTAAGAAAACCCCACATGTGCACACATATGCATACAGTACAAATCCTAGGAAACACGACACTTTCCATGAGAATGAAGAATGACGTGCTACCACTGCTCCCAACTGAAATCATCTCCTCTTCCAAATACAAGGAAAAAGCCTTGAATCGTTAGGAAAATGACAGCATTGCCTGCCAGCACCAGCCCACAGGCTCCCCATTTGATCTGAAACACAAGAAAAGGAGGGTTAAATTCTACTTCATGCTGTTCTCTCCGCATTAGAACCTCCACTGAAACATGACACAGTGTTGCTAAAAGGCTTAGTAATGTCATGGGTGGAGGACAGTGACCTATTCCGCAATTAATCTAACTGCTTCTGTGATGCCTGCTAATTAAGTCTAGTATCATCCTTAACATTTTCCCCATGAGACTTTTGTCTCTACTTATTTTTAGTTAACACTGATTGCCGCAAGCAAAATAAATGTAGCATAGCAAGATTATGAATGATTCAATTACAATATTGGGTGCTGAAAATTCTGCCTGTGTCAACTCTTGCATAGAGAATAGGAATTTAAGAGCTATGCATTTGTTTGCTTCTTTTCTACGTAAGACATACTTTAATAATAATCTGCATTCAAATGAAAGCCACATTCCAGCTTGGCAGATGGTTTTAAGGAGGCACAGCTAGGGGCAAAGAGTACCCTCTAGTGGTCATTTTTAAAATTGATTTTTATTTTTTTGTTTCAAGTTAACCAATAGAAACATCAATGAAAGTTTCTTCCCCAAATACGATGGCAGTATTGAGAGGGAAAATGGAAATATTTACAGCAACGTTTAAGGAGGCGCAAGAAGAAAAAGGCTATGGCCATATTGTGTTCACAGACCGTCTGTGATTCTCCATCGCCCACTGAAGTTCCCGCCGGCGCAGCATTCGCGATTCTGCCTCAGCAGGCTTCACCAACTTTTCGGGCTTTTCTCAGCTATTCCTTTTTTGCTTCATCAGACTGACCTGTTCTTTGTTCCACATCCTGCATTTCACCTTGGGGCCATTCCCTAACAGCTTTCCCTACTTCAATCAAAATCGTGTTTGGCCTTAGCGGCCCATCTCAAACTCTAGCTGGGGCATCTCTCTTCTTAGGCCTCCTGTGGTACTCTGCTCAGGCTTCCACACATGGCGTGCCAGTGCCGGCATTCACCAGGATGGTTTCTATGTTCTTGGACTGCTCAACAGTGTATAATTGTTGTCCTTGGTGTTCTACAAATAGCAGATGTTCCAAAGATTTTAACACTGAACGAATGAAGAAGATCTGCACATACCTGACTCGATGTAGTTTGGGAGAATAACAGCAAAGAATAGGAAAGACAGTGAAGATCAAGAAACTGAATCAATTGTGCCTACAATGTCTGCTTTGCAGGCTAAAAAGGCCCGCGCTGGCTGTGAGGACGCCACTCCTAGCTCTTTAGTAGCTACACAGATATTCCTCAGTATTCCACAGCACTGAGGCTTGGTCCCTGCTCCCACTTTGATAGATCTTCATTTTCTGACTAGGAAAGTGTTGTTAGTAAAGTCTTCATGGCTTTCCCTATGGTTTAAAAAGCAGGGATTTAAGAACAATCCCAGAGAACAACTTCATGCAGAAAAAGCAAGCAGTCATATGGTTTGACTAAAAGTCGCAGGAAAAACAAAGAGCTTTCTGCAAAATATGACTGAGACACTGGCAGGCAGAATCTAAGGTAGAAAAAGAGAAACACAAAATAAACCCATGGCAGCTGAATGAAACAGTAGAAAACAGAACTTACCACAGCCACGCGAGCAAGGATAACAGGAAACCCAAAGGCGGAAACAACAATCCCAGTAGTGAAGAAATATGCCAGCTCCCGACAGGCACTGCTGGTCGCATCAGAGTCATATGTCACCCTTTTGGCAATGAAGTAGGGGATGGGGGAGATGACGTAGAAAATCAGGACGAACAAGGGCCAATAAACGCTGAAGGGGAACCCAGAAGAAACCCCAAAAGAAAAGGCACAGTTACATCTCCACGCAAAGACATATTATTGTTTCAAAATCACTATTTTAAATGTCTAGGTAAAAAACTTAATTATGAATATTAAAACATGAGAGGATTTCTATCAGGAATAGACATACGGCTATAAAAATTACTGTTCGTTAGTATGCATGTAGTTTATATTGTGTTAAGAAGCAACTACACAGTGTATCATCAAGGGATATAATTATTTTCTGTGTTACAGAGTTGTGATTTCTTTTTGCAGTACTGGGGACTGAGCCGGGAACTTTCACATGCTAGGCAAGCACTCTACCGCTAAACTATCTCGCTAGCCCTGATCAGCAATTCTTTAAGAACAGAATCATTAATAAGGGTAGAGTGGTTTGTGCGTGCTAATATCATAAAGAGTTTTTTGAATGCATGCATGATTAAAAGCTTCCAATGATTTAGAAGAAACTCACATTTCCTAGCCCAGCCTATGCAGCCTTACATGATCTGGAGTCACCCGCATCTTCACTGTGTACCATCCACCCCCATTCTCTAACCTGCAGCCACAGCAGCCTCCCTCCTGCTCCATCAACACTCTGAGCTGAGCCTGCCTGGAGACTGTCACACCAGTCAGCCCCTCACACCATGCAATAAGCTGAGAGATTCCTTCTTGAAAGAGACCCCAGGTCATCCTCGGGTACAGCACCCCCTTCTAACTTTCTGCACAGCACCATTTGAGATTCTTGCTTATGAGACTAGAGATGTGATTTATTTATCTCCAGAGCCTAGAATGAGATGTTCCACTTACACTTGAATAAATTTTTTAAAAAATATTTTTAAGACATGAAATGCATATATGCTCACTAGATGCACTCCCAACCCCACCTTTATCATACTAGATTACACTTATAATGTAAGGCAAAGCAACAAAACCACCTGCAGTTATCAAGAATTGTCATCTAATTTCCAACTGCATTTTCTCTACAAATACTTCAAAAATAATCTGTGATCATTGTCTCCTTCAGACATTCATTAAAGAAACACAGTAGTTACTTTCATAAACACATGGCACAATAACACACGCCCTCACAAAACTGAGTGATACAGATCCACATACACCGCACGCACGTGAGCAGGTAGGTCGAAGCTACCATGCTCCTGGCTACTGTGGAAGACGGGAATGGTAACCAGGAAGCAGGATAGGCCTGTCCATGCAGTATGGAAACAATGAATTCAGAATCCCACTTTTAAGCTACAGATTTTGATAGTGTATTTAAAAAATCACCAAAAATTATTGTTGCAAGGGGCTATTAGATAATATACAGTTCAAAGATAGTGAGGAAATGAGACACAGAGAAGGAATGAGACCTGTTTTGGCCTGTCACCTGACATATCCTCAGTGAAGAGCTCTGAATTCTCCCTGGAATACTGTGATGGTTCTCTGTGGGCCTCCAATGTCTGAGAGCTTCTAGGGTGAAAGCAATCTTGTCTATACACAAAATGTAAATACTAAACATAACACTGCTTAGAAAATAGGCAAGCCAAAAGTTAGCGAACTTTTTCTGTAAAGGACAAACAGTAAACACTTGGGACTGGGAGGCCGTAGGTCTCTGTCTCACCCACTGGACTCTGCCACTAAGGTACAAAAGCAGTGAAGACTGTATATGAACACATGAACATGGCTGTGTCCCAACAAAATGTAAATCACAGAAGCGGCAGCAGCTGTGGTTTGGTCAGTCTGTGGGTAGGTGATAATCCCAAGCCACTTTGGGTGATATCCCAAAGATATAAAATGAATCTCTTTGTGGTGGCAGTAATTCATTGTGTCATCAACTTATGGAGACACAGTGCCTCACAGGGAATTAAAACACCCGGATTGAGTTTGTTATGGTATAACAGAAAGTCCTGAGCCAAGAGTCAAAGCAGAGATCCGCTTCCATCGCAACCATTTACTGCTGTACGAGCCGAGTAAGGCTTGCACTACTCAGGACTTCAGTTTCCCAGGTAAGAAGGGAAATAACAAATACCCCGGAACTAGAGTAAAGTAATACCTGTGAAAACTGAATGAGTACGTTACTTACTACATAGTTAAACAAATTCTGTGGTTGTTTCTGACTCCATGGTAGACTTGAACTCAGCCAGGTAGTAACTAACAACTAGCTCCAGCTGCTCTCAGTCATACAGTTTCTGTCAAGGTGTTCACACCACTCACCTGGGCAGCAAGCAGGAGCTCTTTTCCCTGCTTGAGCCCTGACAACAATGAATAAAACCTCTTGCCACCAACATAGCTTGTTTCTCTCCACTTCCACGGCCCCAGGCCTCCATTTTGTTTCATCTATGATAGTAGCCGCCTCCACACATGGAGAGAGAAAAAAAGTTCTTTTTCAAACAACTTACCCATAGTCCTCCAAGGCACATCCCAGCATAAGAAAAGTCAACCCAATAGCCCCGCTGAAGGACAGCGCCACAAGAGCTGTGGAAATACAAGCAAGAGTTAAAGGCTCTAATCAGTGGTTGATAGAGGTGAAGGGTCCAAGAATGAGAAGGAAGGACTGGGTCTTGCTTTAGGAGTGATAAAGCACTACAAGCAGAGATGGCAGTGGTAGTCACAGCCCTACAAAAATGTTAAAGTCAGTGAAATTTTACACCTAAAACAGTTGATATTATGGTATATGAGTATATCTCAATAAAATACTATCTCTTAAAAAAGAGGTCACAAGGGGCTGGCTAGATGGCTTAGCAGATGAAGGCACCTGCCTCCAAGTGAGATGACATGAGCTCAATCCCTAGGATCAACACGGTCCAAGGAAAAAACCAATTCCTGCAGATTGTCCTCTGGCCTCCACACACGCACTGTGGCATGCCTGTGTATGCATGTACACATATACAAAACAAGTAAGATTTTGAAAATAGGTCACAAATTTCAGCAAATGTAGAGATTTACTTTTTTCATTAATTATGGAATTTTCATTGACATTTCACTAGCAAATGATGACTACTATGTGACTGAATGTGTGCATTTTAAATTCATATACTGAAATTGTAACTACTGACGAGATGGTTTTAAGATGTGAGGCCTTTGGTTTGGTTTGGTTTGGTTTGAAAGAGGATCTCAAGAGGTAGCCCAAGTTGGCCTTGAACTTGAGATCCTCCTGCCTCCACAGCTCAAAAGCTGGGATTACAGGCATGTGCAACCACACTTGCAAGGTGGCACCCTTAGGAGGTAATTAGATTTAGATGAGACATGACGATGGAGGTCTTGTGTCAGATTGACATTCTCTCTGTCTGCTCCCTGACCTTGGAATTCTGGCCACCAGAACTCAGAAGTGAGTAATAGAAAACCACCCAGCTTGTGGTTCATTTGTTACAGTAGCCCAAAGCGATTAAGACAACTGCCTTTATGCACCACTTTAAAATCAAAGGTGGACAGGGGTCTCGAGCCATTCCCGGGGCTTGCCCCTGCCTATTGCTGGGATTCTCTCTATACTGGCCATGGGAGGTCCGTCAACCAAGCTTGTCAGCTCCAGTGAAGGAAACTCACAACCTGATGCAGGTTAACTTAACTTATTCTGACACTTTCTAAAGGTCCTGAGTTTTTTTTGTTTTTTTGTTTTTTTTTTTTTTGGTTTTTTTTGTTTTGGTCTTTTTGAAACCAGGTCTCCCAATGTAGCCCTAGCTGTCCTGGAACTCACTATGTAGAGCAGGCTGGCCTTGAACTCACTGCCTCTGCCTCCCGAGTGCTGGGAGTAAAGGCATGAGCCACCATTTCCAGCTCCTTTCATAAATCATACCCAAAACTGCCTCCCTGGAATATATATCCTCAATCATTTTACATCCCCAAACCACAATTACCTCAAATATTGGAAGACTGCCTTCATGTCTTCATCCAAACCAATTCTCAACTGTGTAACTGTCCACTGTATACAACGTCTATTCCCCAAATCTGCTGGACACTCACAGCCGAAAGCCTCTGCCCTTTCCATGCTTCTGTGCGACAGGGTATCCGGCTGACTCTGAGTCACTAAAGCGGGTTCAACTCTGCCACCAGCTGGTTGCATGACCTTGGGCGGCTGGACCTTTCCTAGCCTAGTTTGTTAACCTGTAAAATGGCAATGATGGGTCCCTTCATGAGTTTATGGAAATAAAATGAGACAATCTACACACAGTGCTTGACAGAAGGAGCTCAACTGATGCTGGCTGAGGCTGGCTGAGGCAGGTCCCATGCAGGCTGCAATGTTGTCTGATAGAATAAGAAACCAAAAGCACAGGACACTGTACCATCCAAAGTCTCTTCTGAAAATAGTTCCTAATACAATGAGTCACAGATTCAACTAGTGAACACTTCTATTGCTTTCTTTTTTAAAAACACTTTTATTGAACTTTTGTGTATTTTATACAGAAAATCATCTTTATACCCCCTTCCCCTTTGGGCTTTCTTTTACCTTAAGAGATTTAGAGAGACTGTCTAATAGGAAGATGCCAAGGTGTTTTCCAGGAAGCCTGGAGGAACACAGATGTTAGGGACGAGAAAGAAATGCTCATTTTAATTTATACCTTTTTCTACTGATACGGGACTTTTTAAGAAAGTCTACAAGTTGAGAGAAGTTGCCAGGTCTTTTCCTCACAGTCTTACCACCTCCTCTGCACCTGACTGTCCATGACACTTCCTCTTCCAGACTTACAGCACAGGAACCACAGACCTCTTCCTGTTCCAAAACCATCTCCCAAAGTTCATGATTGTATTTCTGCTCAATGCCTTTACGTCCTTTTTAGTATTTACCCAGGAACTGCATTCTCCGCCATCTCCGTTGTTTTATTATTGCACATGTACACAGCATGTGTGTGTGTGTGTGTGTGTGTGTGTAGAGAGAGAGAGAGAGAGAGAGAGAGAGAGAGAGAGAGAGAGAGACAGCACATGTGCAGGTCAGAGGACAATCTTGTGGAGTCAGTTCACTCCTTCCCTTTTTATATGGGTTCCGGGAATTAACTCTGATCACCAGGCTTGCCCAGCAAGTGCCTTTACTCACTGAGTTATCCGGTTAGCCCTCTGCCATCTCTTAGTTTTTGGTGGCAGTAACCAAGAATCCAAGTCCTACACACACCTGCTGAAAACTGCATTCAACCCAAAGCTCCCAGTATAAGGGCCCTGCCATATCTGGGGCTCTAGCTCACAGCAGATCCCAAGAACCCCACCTCCAATCTGGATTGCTCTGCCTGTACAGCGCTCAGGCAACAAGGACCTCAAGCTCAATACCTAAAATGAAGCCCCGCTCTCACCCCCATATCCATCCTCCCAAACACACACTTCATCTTCCCTTTTGAAATCCTATCTACCTCGTCTTAGAGAGCTGACACCACAGCTGCACTCTGTACCAAAGCGAGATGGCCCATCTACCCAAACCTCATTCAAACCACCCTTTTCTCTTAAACTCTGTGCCACTGCAAAAGGGCAGTCCTTATGAGGCCAACTGAGCCTCTTCCAATCCATCCTCCACACTGATGACCTGTGTGTGTGTGTGTGTGTGTGTGTGGTGTTACCCTTTGTGGCTGTGTTCAAAGCCTGCAAGTTGTTCTGTCACTACAGGCTCACCAATCTGACCCCTGCTTTTCCAGCTTCAATCCTTCCCATTCTCCCTCTTCCCAGTCACATGCCGTTCTGTCCACCTGGAATAGATTCTGGCCGCAACCTGGCCCCTACTGAGTCCTGTAGATCAGTTGACGTATTTCCTTTTCTGTAGAAAGTCCTTTTCCTCCACTGAGGAGGAGCCACCATGTTAGCTTCACAATGACAGAAATTCACTCTCATAGTTCCAGGCTTCCAGATTCAAGGTGTCAGCTGAGCCATGCTCTCTGGAGGCTGCAGGAAACAAGCCTTCCATGCCACTCCTTCACGTCTACTGTGGGCACATGTTGCAGCTGCTGCATGGCTTACAGCTGTGCCACTCCATTTTTCGCTCCTGTCTTTTTTTTTTTTTTAAGTTTTTAAAATAACATTTATTTTTGTAGATAGATAAAAAGATAGACAGACAGGCAGACTGACTGACTGACTGACTGACTGACTGACTGATCTGCAAAAACCCTACTTCCAAATACAGTCACATTCATAGGCACTAGGGAGTTAGAACTTGAACATATCTTTTGGAAGGACAGAATTCAATCCACATTCTCTATACCCCCAGTTATATCTGGGCACACCTTATTTACTTACACAGCAATATAATCATTTGTAGCTGTCAACTCAGTAATAATTTCTTATTTAGACAGTCTCTCTGTAGCGCCAGCTGGTCTGGAACTCACTATGTAGACCAGGCTGGCCACCATCTCACAGAGATTCACCTGCCTCTGCCTCCGCTGTGCTGGGATTAAAGGTGTGCACCACCAACAAACACGAGCTTCTCAGCAAAAGTTTGAAATAGCTGAAAAATCTTTACTTCCCTTAGTCCTTTCCACTTCAGAGTTTATGTTCTTTTCACTACAATTTCTAGCACATTCACTCTTAAACTATTACTGTGTAGTAGTGAGATATTATTTTCATGTTTTCTGCATATATATATACATAAAATGAATATATTATACGTTGGACACCGCCCATGTTTACTCAGCTGATATGAATATAAAAGTCCTCCAGAAATGGTAACATGTGCCTGTTGCTAGCTGCTCACACAGATAAATTCATAGTAAGCCCACAAGCACACACATGCATATACACTGGGTCCATCTGCATAGCTGCTGATAAGTGGGAAAATCTTTGTGCAAAATGTTCAAGGAAAGGATGTCCAGCAAGGAGACGAGTTACACTGCTGCATTCGAAAGAGCAGAAATGGACGTTTCCTACTCTCATAACAAGGAAGCCTTCCAATAACTTCATGCCCATTCAGACTTCTGAATTCATATAGATCAGGGTAGTATTCTCCGTGACCCCTTTTTATCAGCAGTACCATTCAAACACACAAAGCGCACACCCACTGCTTTGTTCACATACGACTAAAGGAAACATTCAGTAAGGTCTTGTTAAAATCCCGCCTAATCTCAGTCCCAGGACTGTGAGAAAGAGGATTTCTAGGTACTCTGCACTGCCATACGTCTGGAGTCAACTGTGCCCAGTGGGAAAAATCACTAGGGATATGAGGACTAAGTCTCCCAACAGGAACACGGGAGACAAAGGCTCCTCTGTAAGTCACAGGAAACTGCGGAGGGGCAGGAAGGTGAGGATGTGGGAGCTGGTGTGACGCGCGGGGAACTGAGAGCCCGGGAGGCGAAGTCCCCGCCAGCGCCGACTTCCAGCCAGGGACAGCCCACCGGGAGGCCTCCGCCCAAGGGGCGCCAGCGCTTCCAGGGTGCCCGATTGCCCAGCAGCGCACCCCGGGAGGCCGGCAGGGCTGCGGGAGCCGGCGCACAGACCGAGCCGCTCCACCTCCAGCCCGAAGCCGGGAACGACCCCACCCACGGCCCCTAGGCCTGGGGCCGCAATGTACCTTTAACTCCTGCCATGTCTCTGGAGCTGGGGCCGCGGCTGCTTCCGGCTTCCTTCTAAAGCCGCCCCCACCCAGACCACAGGGCAGGCGCGCGAATCCCGAGCCCGCCCTGCTAGGCAAGGCCCTCCCCTTGCTAGCCTTGAGCTCCTCCCTCAGCTGACGGAGCCCCGCCCCCATGGCCCTACGCTCCGCCTACAGCCCGCGGAGCCCCGCCCCCGAGGGCCCCAGCCCGCCCCACCCACCACGCAGGGCACGCCCCCTCCTGGCCCTAAGCTCCGCCCTCAGCCCGCCACACCATGCCCGCAAAGGGCCGAACCCACCCACGGCTCGGCCCACAGCCCTTGAAGACTCGCCCTCAGAGGCCTAGAGCCCGCCCACCACTCATAGCCTCTGCTCTAATGGTCCTGATCCCTGCCATTCAAGGTTCACGCCTCCGCCGGCCAAATTCCGCCCCGCCTACAGCCCCGCCCCCGCCGACCCATATCTTCGCCCCATCCCGCGGAGCCCCGCCTCCTACTGGATTTGAGCCGCGCCCTCAGAACGCGAGAGCCCTCCCTGCCACACACACACACACACACACACACACAGCGTCCTTCTTGTTGGTCATAATTCTTGCCATTCAAATCTCCACCTTCTCCGGCTCCATTCCTCCCCGCCCATGGCTCTGCCTCCCGGCCCATAACACCGCCCCCTGTCCGCAGATCCCCACCCCTGCTGAACAGAATTCCGCCTGGTCACGCAGAGCTGCGCCTCCGACACGCTCAATTCCGCCTCCGCCTCGCAGAGCCTCATCCCTACTATTCCTGCTCCCTTCCACTCAGAGACCTGTCCTCACCGGCCCAGAACTCGGTCCCCGGAACACGCCCCTGCGATCTTTATCCTGCCTAGACGGCAGTTCCGACTCCACCTCCGCCACGCACAGCTTCTGTCCTACTGGTCCTGATTCCTGCCACTCAGAGCCCCGCCCCTGCCGACCCTTAACTTCGGCCCCAACAATCAAGGTCCCGCCCCTGTCGTTCCGGATTTTGCTCCGGTGGAGCAGAAACACGCCTCCTCAAGGCGGACCCCGCCTCCACCACGCAAAGCCCCATCGCTACTGGTCCTGAGTCCTGCCACTCACAACATCGTCCCTGCCCATCCCGAGCCCTCCCTCCGGGGCCTCTGTAGGTCCCTGCAGTTCCACACCTCTACCCAGTCAGCCCTCAGCAACCCACCCACCTACTAGCGCAAAGCAATCCACCTTTGCGCCCAAGGCCCTCCTTCCAGCCTCTCGGTGCTCCTGGAAATCCCGAGATGCCCTAACCACACCCCTCAATTTGTGATACCCCGCACTGTCCTGACTTTTGGCCCAGATGCTACTTCAGGACACTCTAGATGCTCATCACCACTCTGGCTGGCTGCTAGGAAACCTTCCTGAGCTAAGAGGTGGAGAAAGTGAGGAGGGAGAGCAGAGGAACAGGGGAAAAGTTACCTGCAGGACCAGGCACGACCTACCAGGGCGACCCTCCCTAAATGCATGTGTGTGCCTGTCTGCGTCTACCTGGCTGGGGATGACAAAACAGAGAACAGGCCTAAAGCATCCCTTCTGTGCTGGATAGCTTTCGTGTCAACTTAACACACCTGAGTAGAGGAAGCCTCAATTGGGGAATTACCTCCATTGGACTGGCCTAGGGCCATGTCTGAGGGATTTTCTTGGTTGTTGAGTGATGTTGGGAGGGCTGGGCCCACTGTGGACGATGCCACCCCTGGGCAGGTGGGCCTCTGTTGTATATGAAAGTAGTTTGAGCACAGGTACTGGAAACTACTTCCATGGTCCTGCCTGGAGTTCCCGCCTCCTCTCCCTTTGATGATGGACTGTGCTTGCAAGCCAAATAAACCCTTCCCAAGTTGGGTTTGGTCAGTGTTTTCATCACAGCAATATGAAAGTAAGCTAGAACACTAAGAGCTACATTAGCTGTGTAAACTCATGGTTCCTCTATCTTCTTTATTCTGGTTCATTAGTAGAAATAATGGACATATAGATTTCTTTGTGTGTGATGCTTTCTTGAGCCCTTAAATAGCGAGCTATTATTTTTGAACGTGGGTTCTGCAAGTAGCTAAGGCCAATTTTTATCCTCCGAGAGCTATTTTGTACTTAACTTCTTCATGGGAATCTTCAGCTTACAAACTATCCAATCCAAAACCTCTGGGGAAATGGTTCAGAAAGGATAGGAACTGTGCCAAACAGTTCTTTGGACAAGGTCGGAAGTGAAAGTTCTAGACCTACAAGGGAAAAAAAAAAAATATATA